AGGCTGCCAGGGTATTTTCACATAAAAGCTTCGTGCATTCCGTTAAAATAATGAGCGTCTCGAAAAAGAAGACACACTTCCGCTGTTTCCGCCGCGCCGCGCCGCGCCGTCGACTCCGAGTGAGTCCCGACCGCTCGCAATTGCAACGTATCACTGTGCAGCTGCTGCACCGGCTTTATTGCTCGATCTTTTATGCGTGCGTAGTGTACACGTTGTCTGGCCTTCCGTCCTATGTCGGCCAAAGTTAGAGAGGTTTTCCAAAAGACACAAAAGAGGAGCTTCCGTCGACAGGTTGACCGCGGTCCTGACGGGACGAGCGTTTGTCTTTTTATTAGAGTGTTTATCTTTCGTTGTGTCGCCGAGAGTGAGAAATAGTTGTTGAACGAGAGTAGTTCAGTCGATAATCGCTTAATAAAACATTAACAGATAATTGGAAAGCTTAGTTAAATGAAAGTATTATCTTTTATATGAATTCTTCACGCGTACCAATTGTTTTAATTTCTTTAAAAATTTCGCACTCCTAAATTTCGTACATTTAGGAAACAGCTTTAGTAAATAATTGCTGCGTAATTAGTACATGTGTCAAATCTATTCTTATTTAAAGAATAGAATTAATAAAAAATATAATTATTTCACTTTACAAATGATTATATAGATAAGCATCAAAATTACTACTTTCTTTATCTACATTTTTTAGTTATCGCGTAATGATCAAGTTGTTTAATAGATTTTTTGTTTAAAGAATTCTTGCGTGCTTAGAATTTTGCGAATGCACTCGGAAATCCACTACTGGTTTTATTGTCGCGCCAGCACGTCCAATCTCGGTACGTTTGACCGAATTACCGGTGGCGATCCGTTTTAAATCTGCCTTGACAACTACAGACGTGACGGGTGATCTGATGCAACACGAACAATAGGCGCCTACATGTAGGAGTGTTTCAAATAGCGCGTAACATGCACATAGTACGTGTGTCGCGTCACTGAATATGCGGATTACAAAACATTGCATTTTCAATGTTTTTCTCTTTTTTTATCTCTCCATTTTTTTAGCGCTATAATAGTTTTCAAAATTTCAATGGAGATGTTTAACCGTTTTCAAAGTCTACGCAGAAGTTGCAATCACTTATTCATTTTGTATTTTATTTCTTTTTAATCGAATAGCGTTATTTATTTTAACACTCCAATTTTAATGCTAATATTTCAATAAACGAGAAAAGAAATGTTTTCTACATAATCCACTTTAACTAAGTTAACATTAAAGACAGGATTTACTTTTATTTATATGTAAATATTTATGTATTTTTTAAGTATTTTGAAACAATTATATTTAATATTTTATGAAATAATTCTTTCTTTCCCCTCCATAGTTTTACATTAATACTTCAACATAAAATAGCAACACTGCTTTGTCTTCAGTCTGACTAATTATGATTTAGACCGAGCGCGCTATATTTCTGAAACAACCCTCTACATCGTTTAGACAGTGAACAACTAAATCTCTCGGACGTTAAGGCTAACTCTAATGAAATGACACATACGGCGCAATCGCTATGACGACATAATGCGGCACCCTTGATTATACGCGAAAACCAAGAAAAAGAAGATACACTACAAGGAACGAAGGCCGTTTGTTGGGTACAGGACCATGGACCGTGGTATGCAGAGGGGGTTGCCTTGTCGTCACAGCACATATTTTATACGGCAATTTGGCCGTAAGTGGTAAGAACGTAAAGTTAACAAGTTGAGGGGGTCGCCTAACAGAAACAAACGAGAAACCGGGACTCCCGGCACAGGTGGTAGCGGTGGTGTGTTGCGTCGCGCGGGAATGAGAGAGATGGAAGTTGCCTTCGGGGGCGAGATTTACGAGCGTCGCCGACTGGTGCGAAAAAGTTTACATTTGCTTGTGTCTCTTCTTCCCTCTCTTTGTCCCTCTATTTCTCACTTTCTCCCCCTCTTTTTTTCTTTCTCTCTCTTTGGAAGTGACCAAGAGGATTGACGGTGTCGCGTGATAAAACACAGCTGCGATGGAACTGGGTGTTGCAGATTTGACGTTTAGGCGCGTCGCGGTGAGACTGCGGTACCCGATTTTTCACTTATCTGTCGTATGGGATCTCTTTCGGAATTTTATTGATAATAAAATGAAAAAGCGGAAGATATTAAAAAAGAGAAAAACATTCGGAAGAACTTGTTTAAATACAAATAAAAATGAAGTGCTCTTATCGTATAAACTAAATTTCAGAAGTGACAACAAATAGCGGAGTCTTAATTTTCATACAATTTCTCTCAGATGGATTAAATGTTTTGGTACTGATTAAAATATTGTTTTTATTTTAATCGGTACCAAATATTTAATGTCGGAAACTGACAATAAAATATCAATTAGATTATATCATTTTATTTTGTTCTTCATAAATAATATAATCTTCGGTGGCATCACATAATAGATACAAATTATATTATGTTCCATTGCTTCACATTTTCTAGAATTTTTTACAATTGACTTGCAACCGTGGAGTTTTCAAGCCAACATCGCATAGAATTATTAAAAGAAGAATAGAATGTATCTCATTTATTTTTTGGATATGACCCGGTTTTACTATTCATGCCGTAAAAACCCCAACGAGGCTGCCGAGTGCATCATCGACGACGTGCAATTGAAAATTCTGACAAATCGACATTCGTGTGTGCGTTGCGTAAACGAGCGCGAGTATTGCGGCCGGCTGGAAAGTCCGGCCAGGAAACATTTCGCGAGCAAACTTTTTTAATTAAATCGATACTCAGCTACGCGGCGGTACCGATCAATTTAATACACGCGGCAGACGAGGGAAGGAGGGAAAGGGTGAGAGATCGTCAAGAAATTTAATTTTCGGAAGCACCGCTCGTGAAAAAAAAGCGATGACGGAAGTAATCGGATAATTTTGGAAAATTCGTCCTGGACCCGGGCCGAACGTTTTGCGCACGTTGGCTCGGCCGTAATATCGAGGTCGACGATTGCAAAGGTCGATAGTTCCATCTTAAAGAGTAAATTGCGTTACCGTCGAGTTCGAGTGCTCGCTGCGCTCAAACACTTCGCTGCGAAATTACGTTTACAGAAAATATCGGTAATATTTGCGAGAAATATAAGTCCGGAAGATATTAACCATCTTCTCCTGGTGCTAACAAAAGAAGGAAAAATATCAGTTATTGGCTTTACAACAATGAAAGCGAGAACCAAAGAAAGCAACGAATGCAATGACCGAGATAAAAATAAAAGACGCCTATGTAGAAAGAAGTAATAAAAGCGCGGATTAAAAAAAGGATAAATAGAAAACAACAAAGAATGCTGTAGAACCGCGAGAGAATTTAGGAAAATGCGGACGAAGAATGTTTCGTTGATAAGACGAATGGAGAAAATAGTAAACGAAGACGGCAGCCGAGAGGGATACTTGGAAGAATGGGAGGGGGGGACGAGAGCGACGGGAAGAGAAATCTATAGGAAATATCTATTCTTGAGAGAGGTATCGCGTAGGAGTCGGGAGAGCAAAGGGGGATAAGGAGCACATAGAAGGAAATGGAGAGAAGAAGTGTCCAGGAGAAACGAGGAGATCGTTCTCCGGTGTATCGGGAAAAGATAGAGGAGAGTCTCGGCCTAGACTTCCCCGTCGACTATCGAGAACCTCGACCCCTCGAGCAATCGACAGCAAACATTTCTTGAAACTTCGTTCAACCCCGCTGACCGCTAACTCGTCGGCAGCCGCCGACAAAGGGGAGTAACAAGAAACGTAAGCTCGATTTCTCGTGTGTATTCCAGTAGAGATGTCAGCGTGAGCAAAACGTTTTTCTCGTCGGTTGCACTCTCCGTTTCTCTTTTTACATAAATAATGTTAAAATCTAATTTTAATAACGGTCTGACTTGTCAATTAGAAGATGGCCTACTCCAAAATATCATTATTCACCGACTTTACATTATTCGATATTAAATAATAAATCTTATTTTAGAAATAATGTTAAAATTAAATTTTAATAAGAATTTGAATTGTCAATTAAAAAAGATAATCTTTTTTAATCCAAAATATCATTATTCATCGACTTGATATTATTCGTGGTGATGCCGATACGAGAAAAAAAAATGGTAATGTAGTGTTCTGGAAATAACAAAAGGAAAATTAAAGAAGGAACATAATTTCGGAGATTTACTTGACATGCATATGAAATTTCTCAAAATTGTTTCAATTTCTTAAACACGAGATACTATTTACGATCGAAAGATACGTGATTCGCGGTATTTACAGCGATATCTCTCAAACAATATCGACAAACGATTCACGAGAATTCGCTCTGCAAACGAGAGTCCTATATCGATACGCCCCGAAGCCCAGAAGTCTCTAAAAAATCGCCTTTCTAGGCGCACCGAATGTCGGAAAAAGCACAATCGTTAAACCAACTTTATTATCGTTACGGCTGCGGCCCAAACGCCGAACACATTCGAACCGTACCTACGGAAATAGCCGAATCATACGCAACTTTTTATACCGCGCCTATCAGTACCCCCGTTGCCCCCGCAGGCTTACGCTCGGTCTATCTCTTTCTAAGTCTATGGTCTCGGATCGCAGCACGGAGTAAGCGCGCGGAGTAACACACCGGCGGTTCAGATTACGGTAAACTGTGATATATCGAATGTTCATTCAATACATGTGCTTCGCGGAATTTATACGGGTCCCGAGGCGTACCGCGTTCGATTACATTCTTTCGGCTGATCGGTCTCGTTTTTATCCACCGACAATTTGACTCGCGTCTCACGTCGTGTCGCGCGCGGCTTCGGAATTTGCTGTCGTTAGCGTTGTTTTCGGAACGCGGATGAAAGGATACGAGCGGAGTAGCGGACCCTAAATCGAGTGACGCGATTACAGTTTCTATTAACGTCGTACGTTTAAAGTATTTAATCGTGTTTCGATATTTCGTGGGGCGATCGTGGGGGATAGAGACCAGTGGTCATAATCGACGATTTAATTGTGTTGCAGTTAACCAAAATCGCCTCACGACGCCGCCGCAGCAAGTGTAGCGCTCTCGCCGCGACGCCGACGGTTGCTCCTGGCGAGTGAAGTTGGCCGTGCGACTTGCGAAATTCTTTCCGTCATGTTGGCATCTACCTGCGGGCCTGCGGAGCGCGGGGCATCACGGGCCGGAGCCGGACGCAGACGGACGTCGAGCGGATCGTGTAGCTTCGTTCGTAGTTTCTCCGACGTAATTATTCCGTCGCCGTGTACTCAAGTACGAACCGCGTCGCGAGATTAATACCGGGAGTGCCGTGCAAAGTGTCGAAAGTGTCGCGCGGTCATAAGTGACGATATTTTCACGCGTGAACGAGTTAAGTGAGTGCGCCGATGGTGATGCGACACCGGAGGGGAGGCCTGGGAGGCATCGGGCGACAGCGGAGCGACCGTGGGGTGAGTAATCGTTATTTGTTTATTGTTTTGCTGTCCCGTGGCGGATTCCGCCACTTTCGAGGTTCAACTCCGGCGTAATTTCGGCCGGAGTTCGATTTCCGGCATATGCGAGAAAAAAGATATTACGTCGCGAACGTCGCGTCCCTCTCTTACTCGCGCGTAATATTACTTGCGCACAATCGCGGATTAATTTTCGAGCGAGTTGATATGGAAATATGCAGCCGCTTGCGGTGGCTGTGATTGTTTCTTACATTTAGTATTTTAAAATCAAATATTCGTTAAAGTAACGTTTTAAAATTTAACGTGCGCGATAATTATTTACTTCGAGTATGGATTATATTGAACGCTGCTTTAATTGTAAATATATTTTTATGTTACAGGTCAACGCAGAGTTACGACTTACAACTCCGCTGTTGCGCATCGGCTCTGGTGAGTTACTTTTTTCTTTTGTCGAGGCAATGAATTGTAAAAATTATATTATAAATGTAGGTTATTACAGTATATTAATTGCAAATGTAAGTTATTACGACATGAATAAAATGTATGTAGAAATGATGAGATATCAGAGGATCACGAACAGTCTTTTTTTTTTTCAACAATTATTAAACATTTTATCAAAAATTTTATTTAAAATGATAATTAGTGTATATGAATATATTGTTGAATATTGAATATATTATTTATTCTGTAATAACCTGCAGTTACATTATAGAAAAAATAAAACAGAGAAACTTGATGAGATTTGATAAAGTCTCGTCTCGTCTCACTAATTATTCGATATTAAATATCTAAAAATATAAGAATATATATATATATAATTTTATTTAATACATCATCTAATAAAGTTAAAAATTGATTTCGACATCCGTTACCATTTTTGAAATTAGACTTGCAATTTCCTTTTTATTTCTCAATCAATATTTCTTTTTTTCCGATCGTGTCGATAATTTTATTGAACATGATAAATACCTAAATGTTCAAACGATCGATTTAGTATCACAATTTGATCCATCTATTTCTCTATTTTTTTTTCATTCCCAGCATCGGACAATTGTACTCGATATGATCCTCGAATTGATGCTGCAACACTTCCAATTTGTCAATAATTACCAGAACTTATAGTTTCGATAAATTAGAGAAAAAGAAAAAGTGTAAAAGACGATTTCCGATCGCTTACAAGTTAAGGAATATACGAAGTATACGTAGTTTTGGATTAGCTCTGTTATAATTCTTGGCGCGAATAAACAAATAAAGTATTATTACATAGGTGCAATTATTAGCCGTAATGTGGTTATTGGCTACTTGGCGTTGTAAGCATTCAATTGCTGCTATCATGATAAAATGAGTTAAGTCCAGTGAGATAAATCTGTGGTAAATTCATAAAACGCATGCAAACATGTTTTATTCGTATTGATGGATTTTGGATGTGCATTTTAGCAGGATTTAATCTATTGCTCAATTTTAATGTTATATGAAAGACTTTATCTCGCTATTTATACCATTTTATATCTGTAAGCATACAGATTCGCAATGTGCATTTTTTCCAGTTCCATTTTCTATTTCTCTTTTTTCTTTTAAAACTATTAAAAAATATATTTAATCCGACTTTTATTCTTTTTAATATATGTAGGTTACTTTCATGATTGATGTTTTATTGTTGTAATGGATTACTTATTCATTTTGAAGAAGTCAGTTTTATCTGGCGTGATAATTTTAAAAGAGATAAATGGCATATTGTTTCCATTTTTTAATAGAATTATAATATGGTCAAAAATTTTATTTATATTTCATATTATTTATAAGAAGCCAGTATTATGTGAAAACTAAGATTCTATGGAAATTATAATTCGTGAGAATATTTTACTTACTTGCATGCTGGTTCACCGACAGTCTCGAAAAATAGGCAGGTACCACCGTTCATGCAAAAATCTCCTGCTATTGGACAGGGCTGCTCCTGCCGCGGCCACGCCGACGCCGCTGTCGCTGTAATCAGAGATATATTATTATTACACGTTCATTCTCAAACATTCTCATCATGAAAGGGACGTGCCTAAAAGGCCACAAGTATTTTTTGTGATTATCACTAATAAAATGTCTGGGGGAATATTTAAGAAATCCAATATCATAAAAGTTGCACATGGGAAATATACACGAATTGCGATAAGCAAAATGTAATAAAGTTCTTTTCGACCTCGGTCGTCTAGAAGACCGAAACTGGCAAGCGGGCGAACTATTGCATTTTACATCGTTTATCTGGCGTAAAAATTTCGGAAGTTACCAGCGTGTCGTATGAACGTGCGAGGAAGAAAATCGTTTTCCCGGTCGAAGCTTTCGTGATCATATGGCTGCTATGCCGGGCATCCCGTAAATGTGCATTAGCGTGATAAAATGAAATATACGCCGCGGCAAAATGGAAAGGAAAAACATGCGGATTAAATGCGATAGCGCATTTAAATGAAACCGGAATACGCATCATTGCCACGCGTAATTAACTACCGTGGACCGTTATGTATCCCGTGTACAATTTTAATGTTCGAAGATTTTCACGTCCGCGTCGCGTACAGACGCGGTCCCCGCTCGTGTACCGATTTAATTATTAATTTAATTACAACAAACATTAATTAAAATATCGTTAAACTGCATTTACTGCAGTGTAACGTGATGCTTTTTTGGTGGGCGACGCACAATACGGTGTTATTTCTTGTAATTGCGTAAAACTCTGCAAAATTGCTGGACGCGTGTTGATTACGCAAAATAATGCCGGTGTATCACATAATGAGATTTATCCATTACCGTTTATATTTTAACTAATACGGTCGTTTACATTACCTTTACTATTACCAACGTTTGAATTACTACGTTATCAATGTTATCATAATTAGGATGGATTAGATTTTTCCAACTATCATTTTTATTCTGTGTCTACAAATTACTGTATTTATTCTTGTGATATGATACATTGGCGAGCATACTAATATTTAAAAAAATATATAATTTTGAATTGCATAAGCAATGAAAAATCTCTATGCTGTGAACATAGAAACACTGCTTCTAGTTTTTTTAAATCATTACATAGTTATGAATTAGCGATTATTTATTAGAACCGGCGCTTGAATACATTAATGGAGAAAGACATTTTGTTACTTTATTAATTTAATATGTGTTTTACCGTTTTTTATTGGATGAAATAGTTTGAAGCGGTGATAAATAAATGGCAAAGTTGGACGGGAGAAAGAAATTGCTTCTAAATACACACTTATATAAATTGGGCGTTCAAATAAAATGGGTAGAATGCGCCGTGAATTTTAGCGACAGATATTGGAAACATCCGCGCAGTGAAATCTGTTATCTGGTACGTATCGAGTTTATCCATAGCGACGTGTGAACGCGGAATAAAAGAATTGCATCTGCTTCGGAAGTGCAAGCTGTCGACACAATCGATATCTCCCTTCTCCTTCTCGCCGTTCTACGTCGAGTTGTTGCTTTCGTCGGCACTTTCACCAGGCGTTCTACTCACTCACGCGAGTAAAAACCGCGCGGCGGAATTTTATCCCTCGCACGAAAAAACGATATTCGTATGATATTCACGAGCGGCTCGAGATGTCGTCGTGCATTTTCATGACCATCGCCTTTTCGCCGAATTAATCTTTGGCATGCAAATGCAGCGGTTTGCGGAAAGGCTGGTTTATGAAAATCTTACAACGTCACTTACTTTCCGAAGTTTCCCCGGCCTTTGGCCACCGCGGTTGTCCTTCTTTTCCCTTCTTTTATCGCAAAACCGCAACGTCGGCAACGATCGCTAGACGACGCTGACACGTCGATAGCTGCCATCGTATCGCTTGCTGTGCTTGCGGAGGATAATTTTATTACTTGGAAGAATGGTTCGACTCGTAAGATCGTATACCCGGAACTGCTCTATCATACAGCTTCGTGACGCGTTAAATCGAAAGAGAGAGTCTTTGTATAAAAAAATCTATAGATTTATTGTTAGGTGAGAGAAGACTATTAATAAAAATATCTTCCGAAGAAAGAGAAATATTTAAACATAAGAAGACAATGTTGTGGCGTTACACTTATCGTATCGTTACAGTTAACTCGATTGACCTCGGTAAAAAGCCCATTTTATAGACTTTGCTTTATCCATCAAAGACGTCGCGAAAAGAGATCTTACTTTTCTGATTTCCGTAAATCCAGTCCGGCAAAAGTTCGTGTGACAACTTCAAACACGCATGCAAGAAGGTATATTCGCTAATTGCAGAAAATTTCCGACTATCCGATAAGCGAATATATTGCATAAGGCATAAAAAATCGCGCGGCAAAACTAAAATTATCACACTGAGAAAAAAATTTGTTAATCCCAAAAAATATTTAGTCCGATACGTTCAACTAAATATTTTAGTTAGTTAACTAAACATTAGTTAGTGAATTAATTAATTCTTGATTAAAGAAACTAAATAAATTGTTGAAACAACCAATGTTTAGTTAACTAACTAAAATGTTTAGTTGAACGTATCAGACTAAATATTTTTTTAGATTAACAATTTTTTTTCTCAGTGCATTGAAAGAGATAGAGGTGAATGTTAATACTGGACGTAGAATGTCCAGTTGCGCGTAGAAGGTAGCAGACGAGTTTTCGAGAGCGCCATTATTACGGATTAACAATCCTCCATTCGGTCGATCCCGCATTATCACGCTCGCAGCTGGAATTTCATCCGGAAGCTTCAGAAAGCATCGGACTAACGCTTTTCGCCTCCCCTTCACGCTTCTATTCGAGTCTCAGCCTTTTTTCGCTCGCGTTTCTTCTCGTTAACTCGTTAACGAACAGAAGACATTTCGCAGTGAAAGCTCTTACCGGCACCCCGACCAGATGGTGCACGCGGAAAAGCGTTCCGCTAGGCGAAATTTCAATTTTCTCGTCGCCGATGCGCCACCGTAAATGTGTTCACGTGCATTTATGCGGGCCAGTATGCTGTTGCATGTAACCCCTCGTGATGTGGTTGGCACCTCGTTATGACTTCTCGTTGTAATGACACTCGCTAATTCCGAATATGAAAAGATAGTTTTGTCGCTGTTTTCGGTATTAGTGGAAGATAAGCGTTTAGAAAAGGCAGCGAATTTTATCCGTGATACAAATATATTTTCGTATAAATTATAAATTATTAAGATAGAAATTTCCAAGTTCTTCATTAAGTTCCTATACATTCTCATTTATAAACAAGTGTAAAAATGGATTTATATAATTTGGGAATTGATCGATCAGGTATATAAAATTGTATTAGCAATAATCAGTAACTGTTTCTTGTTAACGTTCAAGCAATTGGGTATCAGGTGTTTTCGCTAATGCATCTTCACCTCGTAACAGACTAGAGTACAATATCAGTAAAGCGTTCGCGTGCAATAGTAGTATATTCATCACCGTCACCAGCACTGAACGTGTTAATCCTTATCTAGGGAATATAAGTTTGTTGAACTTCTAATTAAAATCGCTTTTTGAAATCAATTTTTAAACTTTTCGAAGAACTTTCTTTTAAAAGTAAAGTTTAAAATCATCTTTTCTTCGAAACTCACGTTGCCAATTTATATTTGAAAAGTAAGAAAAGATAGAAAATAAAATGGATAATGATATGATTGTAAATTTTGGTGATCGCCGCAAGAGATGCTACAGAACGAGATGGGCAACGTATCTTGCGATTAATTGCGTGCATGTTTTGTTATTTATTTGTTTTCGATTACGACGTACGTGTGCCTGCCTGCCGATGGAAGCTAACCGCGTGTAAATAAATGATGCCGGAAAATTGAATCGCCAACTGAGTTCGGCGAGCGGTATTTTCCCGCCGGCTTCTCTCCCGCGTTCTCTTTCGAGACTGCATCGAGGCGCCGCGCCGGTTCAATTTCCTAACGTCATTAGTCATCGTGGCGAATCCGGGCTATATAGTGCATCACCCGCGACATGATCGCGTATTTACACGGGCCTCGGGTTGTCGCGAGTTCGCGCACAACGCGGAAATAAAACGTCACGATCTGTATGGTGGACAACGGGGGCTGTTTTGTAATTCGTTGCGACCGTTACACCGCGTGGAATTAGTTTGTAAAGACGCGATTTACAAGAACACCGACAACGACAAGCGGGAGGAGAGATTTATATCCCGCGGAAAAAGCGGGGACGTGGGGGATCGAAACTGCCGCGGGTATCGATTCGAAGCGATAACATGCAGCTATTTGAATTCGCTCGACACCGCTTGAAATTCAATGAAAATTCACCAGCGATAAAACTTCTTGACGCTATGTACATAGACGACGATGGTTCATCAACCTCGCAATTGCGCTGTTTCACCGAATGCGACATGGTCCTTTCTATCTCTTTCGATCTCGCAGGATTTCGTATGCATGCGTCGTGCGTTCTCTCCGCGAGAATAGTCTTATATAGATAGGTTATCCTCCGAAATCTATCGATTCTTACTTTACGGCCTATAGTAGTTCTTAATTTCTAAATAAAATAAATACAATTGTGTAGATTTGCAATTATAATCTTTCTATACACAACACGCATGATAACATTTACTGTTCAAGTTTATAGATAGACTCGGTAAACCTTTCTTAATACACGTATATACGATAATACACGTTCTCGTAAAAATTGCTATTGCGTATTGACTGACATGCGAGCATGTCCACATGCTTTCAAGTTCGTCATTTCGATAGTTCCTGTTTTTCATGAATTTTCGACTGAGCGAAAATGTTTCATCGAGACGCGCGCCGCGCCGGATCGTCACTGCTGCCGCACTGGTTGCGTCCCAACAAAAGCACGGAAAACGGTTTCAATTCGGAGTACGCCTGATGCATGCGGACGGCGTATTGTTTGGACACTATTATCGCTGTTACATCCATCGGTTTTTCCAGTTACATGCTGGCAGATGATCGAGAGGATCTGTCTCGTGACATAGAAAATCTCTCAGTTCCAAAGATAGACAGATAAGCCACGC